CTAAGAGAGTGTAGTTTCCAAAGTTACTTAGTCTTCACAAAACAAACACAAGTGAAAATTGTGAATTCCAATCGTTATAAGTTACACAAGAAAAATTAGATTCGTCAAAAATGACCCACAAAATGGTTTTGTTATTAACCGATAACAAGTATATACTCAACAGAGATATTTCTAAGACCACCCTTGTAAATCTCTAAATATAAATGTCCCTGAAAACTAAAAATAAAAGAAAAAAATCAGGAGAAAGAAAAGTTGTATCGTGATTCCATAACACTAGTCTAATTATATCTGAATGCTGGATGATTAGGTTAGGGTTGTTAATTTAACATCATATCAACTAGTGATGGGTTATTAAATATCAAATATCAATCTTATGACTCAAAAGGTAGACGTAAGTCCGCTTTACATTAAATTCGTGGACGTAGACACAGGCCCGGTTTACACGGGAGTCAGAAAGTTACACATCGGCTCAGTTTACACGAGCGTCAATAAGGTGGACAGATACCCGGTTTACACGAGAATCAAAAAATTAAACATAAATGAGGTTTAAACTTGGGTCAATAAGGTTGACAATGATCCGGTTTGAACTACAGACAAAAAGGTGAGTTTAAGCCTGGTTACAGAATGGTTGATATCAACCAGGTTTACACAAGTCAGTAAGATGGACAAAGATACGGCCTTAACTAGAGCCCAATAAGTCAAGACAGACCCGGTTTATACGAAAGTCAAAAAGATAGACATACATGAGGTTTACGGTAGAGTAGGTAAGATAGACAAAGATCCGGTTTGAACTAGAGTAAAAAAGTAGGCATAGGCCTGGTTTGCACGAGAGTCAACAACGTAGATATTGATCAAGTTTGTACTAGAGTCAATAAGGTAAACAAAGATTCGGTTTGAATTAGTCATAAAGGCAGACATAGGCTCAGTTTACACGAGAATCAGAAAGCTAGACATAAATCAGGTTTAAACCAGGTACCCAAAGATCTGTTTTGAACTGGAGTAAAAAAGTTCAACATAGGCCCGGTTTACACAAGGTTTAAAAAAGTAGACATAGATCAGGTTTACACCAGATTCAATAAGGTACGCAAAGATCCAATTTGAACTAGAGTCCAAAAGGTAGATAAAAATTCGTCAGCGATAAATTTTTCGTTTTAAGTTTTCGAAGCTTTATGTTTATCGAAAATATAGGATAGAGCTTCTTAGCCCGTGACAAGAATAAAATAGTTAACTTTCAGGTTATGCCTCCACCCCCTGATTGCTTCGATGAGTGTGTTAGCTTCTTTCTCTACTGGGGAGTTGTTTCCTTCTGAGTGGTTTAGAATTCTAGACCAGAATGCAACAGAACTACCACCTTGATTTAGCGTCGCAGCTAAGCTCATGTATCTATCATCAGTTTCAATTTCAAGGAGTTTTTCCTAGTCTATAGAGTGTTCTACGACTCTTTCCAAGTACCATGTCAAATATTCAAAGGAATCTTTTATTTTAGAAGGTAAGGGGAATATAGTATTGTTCTAGTTTGGAAGCCAACGAATGTATTAAGCTTTTATATTGACTGGAGGAGGGAGTTCTTGTAGAGGTCTCAGCCTTTCAGGGTCTGGTCTGTCTCTTTATTTTCGTTTCTTTGTAGGCACATTTATTCTCATTTAAGGTGAGACCGTAATTTTCAGTCAGTTCTTTTAATCTTGCGAAGTTATTGTGATATTCACTTTCATTAATACCAGAAATGGTCATGTCATCTATATACGTGAATGTTCTCTACAAGCCTTCCTTTTTGATTATTTCATACAAAATTCTTTGAAAGCCAGCCACTTTATTTTATCCCAAACAGCATCTTTTTTGGAATTATACAATTTACCACCGGCTTGAAAAGCCGTATAAGAGCGGTCTGCTTTACGTAGGGGAACTTGATAATCCGTACATTTTAGGTCTAGTATAGAGTACAGACTATACTTAGCTATTTCCTAATCTTAGGTAGAGGATAGGCATCTTTTAAGGTAAAATTATTTATCGTTTGTAAATAATCTATGACTAGCCTTCTTTTTTTTTTCGTTTCTCGTCCTTAGTTACCGCCACTTGCGCTCTCTAAGGAGATTTACTGAGTTCAATGATATCTGAATCCAAAAGGCCTTTTATTTCCTTCTTTGTAAATGCCTGTCCTTCTCTATGAAATCTTCGGAATTTCACAAATATATCTCTACAGTCAAGTGACAGATTTTCAAACAGAAGAGGAGGTGAGATATAGTCTACACGGTTTTAGAAGTGGTCAGTCGCCCTCATATAAAATTTCTATTTTTTTGTGCAAGCCTTGAAAACATAATCTGGGGATAACATCGGCACACAAACTATCCGTTAAGGATGAATTAAATTTTGTTGTAAGTTTCCGTACGTAGATTCGTTTTATATTTTCTTCCCGTTTTTAATAACAAGGCAGAAGTCATGCTGACAGTAGATTTAGTAAATCTAACGTCCAACCACATAGACTGAACTTTATTAGTGTCGATAAAACTATGACTACTTCCCGAATAAACTAGTGCGGTAAGTTTTTTTTTATGTTTACAAGGCATTTTACAATGGCTTTCGAAACTCCAAGTAGTCCGGTATTTACCGTAGCCATGACGTGTAATGCAGCAGAAAACATTAGTTTTCAAACGACAGACTTTAATGAAATGATCTTCCTTCTTGCAATTGTAGCAGCTCGTTCCTCGAGCAGGACATTTACTTCTAGGGTGCCTAGGGCCTCCGCAGAAAAAAGTACCTTTCTTTAAAAAGGGATTTGCTAGCAATGGATGTCCGAGTATCCCCCTCCTTTTGATTTTCCTCTTACTGAGAAGTTAAGGCGTTAATCTGAGGTTCCGATACCGACGTCGCTTGATAACTTGTTTGGGAATCAGCAGATTAGGCTTCAGAATTTACGATAGCCCTTTACACACTACGCGCTTGATTTCTAGCTCCTGTGAGGGGAGGTGGCTTTTTCTTTTCAGAAATAAGGGCATCTCTTTGGAAACTTGAGCGGTAACAGCTTTGAATTTACAGTCCAGAACGTACAATGCTTGGAGATATTGACCAAAGTTTAATCCACCGTGTTGAGTTCTGGTTGAAGTACATGTCAGGCATATATCTCATTTTTTTTCTTGGGCGAAAGCTCTCTTTAAAATGTTAATAGCTTCTTCAAAGTCTCTACATTCGCTGAAAAGTTCGTATACATCAGATGACACGTAGTTTGTAAGAATATCTAACTTCATCCTCCTCAATATTCTTCAGGCAGTTTAAAAATATTCGGTACCAATGATTCCATATTTTCGCTGCCCCGTGGGTCTTACCATTTAGACCTAGAATTTTAGGTTTTAGTACCTTGTCTATTTTGATATCCAAACAAAGAATTAGTATTGAATTCAATATTATAAACAGTTAAAAGTATTCATTACTATTTCTCTAGTAGTTTGGTCGTCAATGTCAGGATTTGTAGTATTTACCAGGGAGCCCACGTCGCGATCGGATGGGACACAAGGCCTAGTTTTAACGTGGGTTTAACGGCCATACCACGAGAAAATTCCCAGGCCTCTTCGGTACTTCTTCTAGGGACGCCTCGGGCACAGGGGAAATAAACCTAGCCTCCTCCCGATGGGAAGATACTATCTGGGGCCTAGGTTTAAATTGGGTTTAACGGCCATACCGCGCAAAAATTCCAAAGCCCCCTCGGCAATCCCCCTTTTGGAGACGCATCAGACACCACCACCCCCACTCCTTGGTAGTAGATATAGTTTAGTTTGTCAAATAGGTAAATATGGGCCCGGCTTGTATTAGAGTCAAAATATAGGTGTAAGTACGTTTTATAACCGAGTCTACAAGTATTCATCCAGAATGTGGCCCCTTTTGAGGGAGTCATAGCCCTCTGCAAATGATACAGATGGCGTATTCTAAGCCCCTTCAACAGGGCAAGCCAGACGGAGAATTTTTTTTTAATGTTTCCATAGCTTAATGTTAAAGGCATTTCGTATGGCTTTGATAACAAAGCCAAAACTGATTTATAAGTTTTAAAAAAAATTATTTTCTCGTGCGATCAAATTTCTTACTTCGTGAAAATAACAATATTTGATGCTAAATGAGAATAAATAGATTGAACTAGTTTATTTTATTTTTTTTTCCAATGTTATAAATATGGGAAAGTTTAGATGTCCACGTTAATAATCTTGATTCTCTGTTAACCTGTTTCTACCCGAGACCTAGCGGAATAATGTAAGCCCTGTCCCACGTTCCAAGAAACGCCCTCAGCTTAAACAGGAAAATAATTCATCAACTGTTTACTTACAAAATATCTGACTTAACGTCCATTATGTGAGCACAATACCGTCTGTATCATTAGCCAGTATAATTGGTTAGTTTTCACCTTTACCACCATATTTTTCTTTGCGAGTCGGTTACCTACATTTACATGTCATCTTTGTTAAATATGAATATTAATTGTATTCAGTAAATTCAGACAACAAAAAGCACCTTTTGCCATATATGAAGAATATGAGAAGACTTTCAAAGAATTATCATCGTTTGTGATTAGGACTTGTATTAGGACCTACAATGCATTGAGAAATGCCATTCATAAAATGATCGCGAACATTTCTTTACAGGGAGAACAGTAGGTTGAATAGATGGCCTCGTTTTGTCAATGGTGAGTGAGGTCTTTTTTCGCGTCCAGGCTATATACATTAGCATACTACACTTGAGAAACAGGTGATATCAATTCGAAGATTCATTGCCTTCTTTCACGGCGCTCAGCTATTCACTCACACACGCTGAAAAAACATTGAGTGACAAAGGAAAGTCTTTGCAATGAAGGATGGGCCACCTTTATACTCTCTAATTACAAATCCTTATTGGAGCAGAACTTATTTCATATTACTTTGGAGGAAAAGGGCAAAAGGGTGAGTTGGAGTTGGTAGAGGTTGTAGTGTTCAGGAATTAGGGTTGGGGAGAGAACAAAAAGATTGTTATTTGTAATAGTATTAGCAGAGTAGAAGTAGCTGAATTGCTACAGAACTACTGCTACAGTCATTGCTGGTAGTGATGAATGTCATGAGAATTAAAAGAGAAAGAGAGAGAGAGATAAAGAAAGAAAGAGATAGAGAGAAAGAAAGAAAGAGAACGAAAGAAGAAAAAGTGTGGAAAGATGAAATATGTAGAAGGAAAGAAAATAAATAAAGAAAAAAGCATAGAAAGATAAAATATGTAAAAGAAAAAAAGCAAGAAAGAAATAAAAAGAAATGAAAATAATGGAAGAAGGAAAAAGAATAAATATGAATAGGAAAGAAAAAAGAAGCATAAAATAGCACGAATGACGAAAAAGAAAAACGAGAAGAAGAAATAAAAATTAAAATGAAAGAGTGAAGAAGAAGAAGAAGAAGAAAAGAAAAAGGAGGAGAAACATAAGAAGACGAAAAAGAATAAAAAAGGAAAGCGAAGAAAAAGTACAATAAAATCGGGAAGCAAATGAGGGAAATGAAAAAGATAGAAGAAGAAAAAAAAAGAAGGAGTGGCGGAGAAAAAGAGAAATAAGCAAAGAAAAAATGACGAAGAAGATAGTTAAAAGAAGAAGCAACGACTAAAAAGAAGACAGATAAAGAAGAAGATAAAAAGAGGAATGGCGAATAGAAGAAGTGATAAAAGAAGGTTTTTTTTTTTATTAATAAAAAAGAATGGATGAGGAAGAAGAGATAAAAGTATAAGGAATGGTGAAGAAGAGAGATAGAAGAAAAACGAGATAAAGATGAAAGAATAACGATGAAGAAGAATAAAGAAGAAACGAAGAATATGAACTTAAAGATAAGAAAAGGAAAAATAACGAAAACGAATGAATAATGAAAGATAACATTAATGTCGGACTAGTATTTACTTTAAGTTTAATCATGGTTGACAATCATTTCCATAAACCAATGTAAAAATAACACTGCAGAAAGAAAACTTGCTAAGATGCGAAGATATTTTATTAAGAAATAGTGTCTGCCATAAGGCCATGTTTTCTAAAAAGAAACCTAATTAATGGAAAATTTGGTAGAACAATAAAGAATATGCGTTATGTAGATTAAAATAGTCTTTCTGTTGAGGTGTATACGTTCAACATATTTCAATCACGCATAAAACTTTAGGTTTTACGTAGCGACAATCTGTCACAAGCGAGTGTATAATACAAAGTTTAATAATTGGAAAGTGGCTCACTACTAGGGTAAAACTTTCGCAATATATTTTCTATGAAAGTTTATGACCATGTAAGCTTTACGGCAGCGAATGTTGGACGATTTCCTCAAAGATGAAGAAGAGACTCGAGGCGACGGAGATATGGTACTACAGAAGGATGCTAAGGATATCATGGGCCGAACATGTGATCAACGATGAGGACTTAGGTTACAGACAAGTAGAAGGCTTATACTTAACATTAGAAAGAGGCAGCTGAAGTTTTTTGGGATACATAATGAGGAAGGAGGGCCTGGAGAATCTGATCCTCACGGGTCAAATAGAGGGAAAGAGAGACAAGGGAAAACAGCGCGTGACATACCTGACGAGCCTGAGCAAGTAGATGACAGAACGTAGTCTGGGAGAGAAAGCAGAAGGAAGGAGCTTGCTGAGAGTTGCGAGGGATAGAGAGAGGTGGAGAGCCATGATTGCCTACGTCCTGAAAAGACATGGCACATAAAAAGAAAAAAAAAGAAAGAAGCGGGGTTCGAATCTTAACACGGTCGTTTTTTTTCAGGGGGGTAACATTTTGATGTTATTTGCCGACGAAGGTGGGCATATTCTGGTTAGAGAGCGCCTGAAAACCATATCACGGGTTGACCCAAGTCTTGTGAGTACAGTTGATTAGATTAGTATGCTTCGTCACGGAGTCACAAGTCATCGTGACTGAGGCTTTGAGCGTACTGGCCTTGATGCGCTCTCTCCCAGCTACTGTGACTAAGGCCCGCTCAGCATAGTTGCACTATAAACCACAAGCGGGTACTGTGAGTGTTGAAAAGCACAAATGTGCCTGAGCAAGCGTCTTCAATAAGCATCGTCTAGCCCTCGTAGGAGACAAACATACTGGGAAACGAGCTACCAATTGATATGTTTCTTATACTTACAAATTCTAATTTATTAAACTAGTGGAATTAATTGAAAGAAAATTTCTCAAATATCACCCCAAAGTTGGTCAAAGTTTACTGTGAAGAAGGAATATTATGTCGCACCAATTTTCTAAGTGTGGAGAGAATGCATAATTATCTCTTGCACTGATAAGATTGTGTTAATGGTAATGGTAATATTAGCCGTTTCCTTACAAGGAAACATTCGGCATTCATTGACCGAGCAACACTTACTGGAGTTATACTTTTCTTTACTCTCTATCTATCAGACTGGGATCAAAGCGTAGTATCGATGTTCGTCTCAGCTCTAATTGTAATGGTAATATTAGCCGTTTTCTTATGAGTTCATAGGTCGAGTGGCCGGTGCTACTTTCAGTTGAAATTTATAAAATCTTTCTTTTGAAACATTTTTTCAGGAAAACAAGTTTCTTATGTACTGTTACACTTTCCACTATTGTTGGGGGCTTTATTCGTAAATTTTTATTTGAAGTAGTGTGGAACATCAGCATCTTCTATTAGGATATTATTTTCACTTCGAGTTACATGCGCTGTCCATTTTAGTTGTTGCCGTTGTTGAAACTCCTCAACTAATTTATAATAGTTTCTGCTATTTCTTTCAGTTGCTAGTTCGTGATTCTGTAGCGTCAGTCTACAAAGATTGAAGAAGGATGGTCCTCGCAAGGCGCAACAGGTTTTATTCGCTCGAAAACGTTTTTAACCATTGATCTGATTATTAAGTTAAAAGTCTCGACCTGACGCGACTATTTAAAAACATAACACGAGAGTTTAGGTTAATATTTTGGTTTTGTAGGAACTTGCGTTGTTGGGTAAGCTATATATATATATATATATATATATATATATATATATATATATATATATATATATTTTGCAGGTGAAGATTGCATGTTTCCATGAAACTCCAAGTCGTGCTAACGACGTGGTATATAAACACATTTTGTATCAAGGTTGAGCGGTCTCATATTTTTTTTTGCATATTAATAGCTCTGTTATATAACATTGAGCGCTGTTTATATAACACCTGAGAAAAATATATATGTACGTGCAAATATCTGTGCGTATACATATGTTTTTATCATATCTATCTATCTATCTATCTATCTATCTATCTATCTATCTATCTTCTATCTCTCTCTCTTCCTCTCTCTCTCTCTCTCTCTCTCTATATATATATATATATATATATATATATATACACGTGTGTGTGTGTGGGTGTGTGTGTGTGTGTGTGTACATTGTAGTCAACATCCAACGAGGCATTCTGTTTCATGCTTAAATTCAATCGCCAGGCCGTATGCGTTGCGTTTTGACTCGACGATATATATATATATATATATATATATATATATATATATATATATATATATATATATATAAGCATGACACGGATTGTCGCCGCTGGGTGTTGACTTTAACGTCCAGTTTTACATTTACATACGCTCTATCTCTGATATTTAGCACTTTAGCCCATAAAATATACCATACGTCAAAACTATATTTCTGTCATATATATATATATATATATATATATATATATATATATATATATATATATATATATATATATATATATTATGTGTGTGTGTGTGTGTGTGTGTGTGTGTGTGTGTGTGTGTGTGTATGCTTATATATTGGATCAGATTTCCTACATTTTTCAACTGCTTTCAACAAAACTTCACAGGACTGCGTAAAATTACCTTGCGGTGGTTCTGACAGCACCAAAAATTGGAAAAACACAATTCTTTTTGCACGAAATCAATTTGAAAACACGATAAAACACGATTCTGTCGCCAGAAGGAAAGGGGGACAACTCATATCGAGTTATACTTATTATAAAACCCAGGCTGCGTGTGTTGTGTGTGTTCGTTTATATATGGGATCGGATTTCCTGCATTTTTCAACCGATTTCAACAAAACTTCACTTTTTTTTGGCAGGTAGTGTTTCTTATTGTCTTGCACACTTTTTTCTTTATTTTTACATTCAGAATGCTTTAAAAATTCCATTTACAAGACAATTGTTTATAATAAAATTCTATTCAATCGGTAGAGACTCATAACGATTGAAAACAATGTTTTTGTTTGAGTTTGGGTTTGACCAATTCGTAAAAAAAAAAAAAAAAAAAAAAATTAAGACATGCGTGTCCGTCAACCTTAAACAATAATCTTTGTCAATTTTATTTTTCAGTCTTTATGATGGTCGATACTTGATCTATCTCTTACTGTTACATCCCCGGGCAACGCCGGGCTCTACTGCTAGTATATATATATATAAGCCACTGAACAAAAAACATCTTGTCTTCGAACTTACAATAATTCAATACATTTATCTTAACACTATCATCATTGCATACAAAATATTTTCCACCTGCCCATTGTTTTCTTCGTGTCGTATTGGCTGGTTATTTTCATGAAATATCTAATATATAACGAAGTCATCTAGTCCATCCAATATAGCTCAAGATTAATCACTAACATTACTGTTGAGAATTCAGTATCCATGTATTACTTTGACCAACTTACGATTTTCTTTCGATGATCTTTATTTAAGGGTGGTAGCTAGATTGATTTTCATGTTTCAAAGTTCTTAATATTCTTCACATTTTTGTTTGTTTATATTCGCAACACCAGGTTGGTTAATACCAATTTTATTTTAAAAGCATTCACTTGCAAAAAACTATATTATATAGAACATGACATTGTGCTGTACTTGGTGAAGAAATAAATTATTCGAATAGTAAGTATGATCGGTTCGATGAGGTCAAATTGGCAGTCGATCGAAAAAATTACCTACATTCTGTTGTTAACCCGTGCAATGAATAGCTTGTTAATTGTAATACCATCGAAACAAAACTGCTCTCTTTTAAACATCTGATAGAACATTTCTTGCTTTCCATCGGCATGTTTGATTCTAACCTTCAGAAGAATGTCTCTTTTCGGGCTAAGGTTTTCCGCTGACATGAAATGAAAATATATTGAATCAATTACTAAGTCTGCTGCTAGTAAAGTTGAGACATTGTACCTTGCAGAACACTTTTTTTTTCTTACCAGAATCTGTCTTACATATTTATAAGTCTACCATTAGTCCATGTTTTGAATATTGCTACCACATCTGGTCTGGTGATTCTGCTATGTATTTAGAGATTCTTGATAAAATACAAAGAAGATTCTGCAATGTTATTAGTCCTGACCTGTCATCTCGGCTTCATTCACTTATCCACCGCCGAAACGTAGCTTCTCTGCGCCTTTTCTGAAATATTTTCATAGCAATTGTTCTGAAGAGCTTTCCTCTTTAGCGTCTAGACTTCATGAATTTAAGTGCAGTACTAGATTGGCGGCAAGGTCTCATCATTTTACAGTTGAAATGACTAGATCTAAATGTAACAGTTTCTTCTCTCACACATCTCGCTTCCGGTTTTTTGCCTTCTAGTTAACTTTGATCTTCAAAAATTTCCAATCAATGTTAATAGTTATCTTTTGTTTGCTTAATTCCTGTTCTTTTGTAGTTCTTTCTTCTTACTAATGTTTTATTCTCATATTCTCTCACACTCAGTAACCCCTTGCGTTTTAGTGATTTTATCCCCTTGCTTAAGATGAAATTACTAAAAGAAGAGTTTTTTTTTAACTTCTATAATGTCTACGCAAATTTAAAAAAGCTTTAATGTATTTTTATATTTTCAATTCGTCTGATTATATTTTTTGACTCTGCTCATATTATCATTAAAATTACTGTTACTTTTTTTTTTTCATTTTATTTCATTTACTTATTTGTAAAGGGCACATCTACTTTTGGCACAATACCCGAAATCCGTGATGCAAGTAATCGCATTTCTTACGTTTTCTTAAGGGATTTCTTTTTAATTCATTACTTATTTTTACCGTCAATTTTGTTTGCTCGTCAAATTACACATAATCATGTTCCTTGGATTTCCGAATCTCGCCTTTTGCATTACTGCCTATATCATTTTTTTTTTTTTTTTCTGTTCAGTGTGTTTTATCATTTTTTTCTTTTGGTTTTGGTAAAATATTTTGTTTCATTCTAAACATTATCTGCTTTCAATTTTCTATTCATCCACTGTTTAAATCATTTTTCGTTACATCTTGTGGCAGTAACAGATCTCCAGGCGCCAACTAATATATATATATATATATGTGTGTGTGTGTGTGTGTGATTTTTCTTTCTTTCTTTTTCTTTTCTTTCTTTCTACTGCTATATTTGTTTTTAATTCCAATTTGATTCTATTTCTTTCTTTCTTTCTTTCTTTTTTCTTTCTTTCTTTCTTTAGGCAATGCTTTTTCTGTCTGTCTGATGTAACTTCTATCTTTGTCTGAGTTTTCTTTCTTTTCTTTCGTTTGTTTTCTTTATTTTGGTATATTTTCTTTCATTCTATTTTATACAAACTTTCTTTCTTATTCCACGTGTCTTTCCTTCTTTCTTTTTGTTAAATTTACACTCTTTCGTTCCTTCCATTTCATTGTATTTTTTATGGATCTTTTCTTACATTTTTTTATTTTTTTTTGGCT